CCCTATCAGTGCTCACCTTTGCTGACTAAGGCAGGTAAGCTGGTGTGTTAATTAAGGTGTCCATCAAATTTCACAGCAGGCAGTGAGGGGTGGGTTGAATTTTCCTCTCTTGCATCCCCTGTCACATCCCCTGGGAGTGTGTTAGAGAAATTCCCAGAGGCTGCAAGGATAAATGAGATCTCTGGAAAGGCACAGGTTTTCTTGATGTCTGAACTCAACTGTTTGAGTGCTTTGCACTTTTAGAAGTGGCAGCTGATGGCAAGTGGTGGGTGAGAGAGATCAGAGGGCTTTGGGACAGGATTTCCCTTCTTTGTGCACTTCCCTTCTGTGCCTGTTCCAGGTCAGCTGAGGGATTGTCCCACCCCTGTGACTGCAGGGATGGACCGGAGGAGATGGCTCCTGTTGGCTCTGGCTCTGCTCCTGGCCATCCCTCTCTCAGGTAACACTTCCATGTGCTGCTCTGCTCCTGCCTGGGGGATTCCAGTCTGCAGAGGAGCAGAAGTGCTCGAGCTGAGGCTCCTGCTCTCCTGAGAAGGCCTGATTGGAACTCCCAAAGAGCTGGAGCTGCCCTGCCCCTCCAGCCCATTCCAGCTGGAGTTTCCCTGCCCTGGTGGAGCGGGGGAAGGTCTGAGCCAGGGCAGCTCTGCCGTGTCCAGCCCAGCCCCAGCACCAGGAGCATTTCCCTGCCTGCCCGGGCAGTTTGCATTGGCCCAGCTGCCCCACTGCTGGTGGCACAGGGCTGCCAAGGGGCAGGACAGGCTGGGAAGCTGCAGCAAATGGCTCTGGACATGCTTTTGTGCTTTTTAACTTTTTTCCTTTTCCACAAAATATTCCCATCCTGTACAACTTCTGTCAGTCTAGTTTCTCCCTCTCCTCTATGCCTTTGGGCTTTCCAATTTCCCCCGTTCCCATTTTGCCTCAGAGAAAAGAAGAAAAGGAGAAAGTCAGTGAGTGAATGCTCAAAACAAAAATGAATCTCTCTTTTATAAAAACAGAAGAAAAGGTGTGAACCATTTTCATCAAATCATTAATTCTCCTTTCCTAAGTATTTTTGAAACTGGTAATTTCCCCAAAGATCTCTTGGACTCTTTTTTTCTGACTTTTTTTTTTGCATCTTTCTGTGATTATCTAATGTCTCATGACCTGAAAGTGCATTAGCAAAGGGGTCAACATCATTAGTGAACATTTGCAACTTTTGTTTGTTCTCCATTCTCCTTGAAAGGGAAAAAAGGTCTATCCCAGTCCTCTGTGTCCTTCACACCAGTACATTTTCTGATTGATTCCAGCCAGATGCTCACTTACATTTGGTTTCCACAGGAAGTTTCGAGCTCACATCTCCCAGAAATGTGGTGGGCATTGTCGGCCAGGATACAATCCTTCCTTGCACCATCTCTTCCACAAAGCCACTGGACAACCCTGAAGTGCAGTGGAGGAAAATCACAGATGGACATCCAGAGGACATCTACACATACAGACACTCTGGTGGTGAACCAGTGCAGAAATACCGTGGGCGGACATCAATGCCAGGGGACGGGTTTTCCACTGGGAACGTGTCCCTGACACTGAAGAACGTCCAGCCAGCAGATGAAGGGATGTACAGCTGCACTGTGACATCCAGGGACTGGAGCGCTTACACGACCACCAAGCTCAGCATTGCAGGTTGGAGACTCCCTGGGCTGGGAGGGCAAGGGGGAAGCTCTTGCAGAGGGAAAAGAGCTCTCTGAAAGGTCACTGTCCCCCAGCTGATGCCCCTCATATGACCCAACACGTCACCTCCCACTCACAGCAGCCCGTGGGCCACGTGGCACCTGCCTTTTGATCCATGGGACACTTGATTTCTGAGTCACTGAGGGGTCTGTAGGGAGCCAAGAGAAGTCAACCCATGTGCCACCACCCAGGAGGGGGAACTGGTGATGTGACCAGCCCAGGAGGGTCATGGCAGCCCTGGCAGTTTTAGGCCAGAAGGAAGGAGCTTTAAAGCTGAATGTCCCAGCAGACACAGAGCCTGCCCTGCCTGTGGGAAGGCAGCTGCATTGTGTGGGAAATGGAGCAGGCAGGAACAGCTTGGTAAAGCTGCAAAGAGACTGGGGCTGAGTTGCTGTGCCCAGAGATGTTGTGCAAGCTCCATGCCCAGCCTGAGCCTTGCTGTGAGCCATGTGGGGCTGGAGAGCTGCAGCAATCCCTGCTGGGGAGGGGTGAGCCCAGCTGGGGGATAGACGAGTGCTCAGCATCCCTGGCTGTGGCACTGACAGGAATGGGTGCCCTCCCTCTGGGGACTCCTCAGCTGGGCTAAGGAGATGTTCTGGGCTGCCAGTTCCCCCCAGCTGGGCAGTTGGCATCGTTTGTGTGCAGGGATTGATAACGTCAGGTGGAGCTGGTCAGCCTGGAGTCACTGAGCAAAAATAGCAGGACACTCTGGAAGAAGCAACAGCTGTGAATCCAAGGTAGAGCTGGTTCCATGGAAACACACTTCTCCCACTCACAAACTCTCTTGCCTTTAAGGGACTGGGGAAGTGTTCCTTGAAATTCTGGGCCCCCAAGGAACAGGGCTCAAGCTTGGCTGCAGATCACACGGATGGCTCCCTGAACCAACTGTCCAGTGGGTGACAGAGGATGGGCAGGGTCTGTTTGCAGACACTGAAATACACCAGGACAGCAGGAAGCTCTTCAGTGTGTGGAGTCGAGTCACAGTGACAGGAGAGGAAGTGGGAAAAGTCACCTGTCAAATCCTGAACCCCCTGGTGCAGATGGAGAAGAAAACTACTGTGCGCCTCTCAGGTGAGTCCCATCGTCCTGAGAAGCCTTTGTTGGAGGCTCAGTGTCTCAGGAGCTCTGGAAGGCTCTTTCCAGTTCCAGGGAAGGCAACAGTCCAGCCAGATCCCAGAGCAGCCCGGGGCACTGCAGGCAGGACAGGTTGCAGTGAGAAAGGAGCAGGGTCCCTCTTGCACATCCCTAGAGAAGGCAGGATCTGCCCACCCATGTAGGACTGGGACTGTTTTTCCCTTCATCTCCACAGGAACTCTTTGGGTGGGTGCTGAAATCTGGGGAAAATACTGAATATTGCCACTGATGACACTCAGATATTTTCCTTTCAAAGGTGCTGCTTTTCCCCGTTTGTCTCCATTTGTCCCTGCCTTCTGGACAGTACTCACTGTATTCCTTCTCACACTGGCTGCTGGTGCTGTTCCAGTGTTTCAAGGTAGGGGCTCATCAAGGGAAGTCACCTCCTTTGGCTGGCAGTGCTGTGCCTGGTGCCCCCAGGACACTGCTGGCCCTCCTGGCTGCCAGGGCAATGCTGGCTCCGATTCAAGTGGCCACCAAGCAGGACCCCCAGGGCCCTTTCCACGGTGCTGCTCTCCAGCCTCTCGTTCCTCAGTCTTTCTGTATATCCAGGGCTGCTGATCACAGATGAAGAATTGGCACTTGCTAAGCTTCCTATGGTTGGTGATTGCCCATCTCTCTAATTTGTCCAGGTCTCTCTTTGCCTTCAAGGGAGTCTATAGCTCCTCCCAGTTTAGTACAACTGGAAAACTCACTTAATACCCTTCAGTCCAGTGTCCAAGTAGTTTATGAAAATGTTGAAGAGATCTGGGCCTAAGATGGAGCCCAGCAGAACCCCATAGTGACCAGTGCCATCCTAATATTACCCCTTTACTGTAACCCTTCAGAGCTGGACCCTTCACCCAGAGGTGTCAGTGGTGTCCTAGGGTTTTTTTTTAAATTTGAGGAGTTTTCCTCTCAGAATTCTGCAGGTCACCATCTTAGTCACCTCACAGTAGAAGCTGTAGCTGGAATCAGTATCAACCACCACCCCCCCACACAAACACAAACACAAACACACACTCTACCCCCTCAAATCATGCTGGAGTTCTCCTTTTCCTTCCATCTGCAGTGGAGGTTCAGACTGACGTAGCTCTCCCCTGTCTGTGAGTCTCCTCTCTGCACCACTGGGAGATACAAACCTGACCTCTCTGGTGTTACAGGTGTTCAGCACCCATTCAGCACCCTGAGCCATCAGTTTGGTGCTCAGGGCAGACCCTGCTCTCAGCAGGAGACTCCACTACACACCTCCCACGCTCCTTCCACCCCGAGCAGCTCTGCCGTGTGGGGACAGAGGCAAAACCAAAGTCAAAGCCGAGCGTGAAGAATCCATCTGAATGGCTAAGGAATCTGCAGGGACCAGAGCAGAGCTGGCAGGGAAGGTTCTGGGAGGAGAAGGGTGGGAGCAGAACAATCCCTGTGTGGGGTGGCAGGAAGGGATGGGGCAGAGTGAGGCTTGGGCAGCCTTCCCGTGAAAGACCTCGTGGTGCTGCACGAGAACTCTGGGGCAGCCAAGGCAGTTTGATGGCCCAGCAGAGCATCAGAGCAGTGGGATGCACTGATCAGAAACCCACAGCCCTGCTGCCAGGCTCGTGGTTCACAGCACCTCATGTTTCCTGGGCTGGATGAGTGATGTGTTCTCCCCCAAAGTTCACCCCCATGCAGATGTCCAGGCCCCCGGGGTGCAGACCTGCCCTGGCAGTGGCTTTTCCCACCACACACCAGCACAGCCTGGACTCTGCTGGATCCCACCCTCCCCAGATTCTGAGGCAGCTGTTTGTCTGTCCCTGCTCTTTCCAGCTGGGATGGAGGCAGGGGAATATTCCTCCCTCAAGGAACGCTTGGAAATCAGTGTGGCCTGGGATCCCACCCGTGGCCGGTGGGGAGTGAGGGGGCAGTGGGGTTCCTGTCAATACTCCTGCCCAGCAGCACAGCAGAACCAAGCCCATGTTCATAAGGGCTCACAGTGGTGCTCAGACTCCTTTCAACAGACAAAAGCTGTGAAAGAGAGGACTTCCCATGTCAAGGAGTAAGACTGGAGCTCCAAGAAAGAGGCCAAGGCTCTTTCACAGATCAAACTGCTACTGAAAGTGGACTTGAAATCCAGGGAAGAGGTAAAAAACGGTGCCCAAAGGTTCATCAGCATGGGAATTCCCCTCCCCTATTTTTCAGGTATGAGTGAGTTCTTTACCAAGGCCTCTGAACTAGAAAGGATTCTCTGAGGAAAGAGAAACCTGGAGCACAGAAATTAGTAACAGGCAGGACAGGAGGGAACTGATTCTGAGTTTTTTGTCTCCTGCCAGGATAAAGAAAGAAGACGGAAAACCAAACTAAAACAGCAAAAAAAACCCACCAAACCAAAACCCCCCAAAAATCCAAAACAAAACAAATGAAAAGAAAGACAAGACCCAACAAAACATTTCCAAATTCCCCCATCAGTGCAACCTCTGAGGTGAGGGAGAAGAGAGGAAGCACCAATAAAATATCTTCAAAAGAGACCCTCGAGAAAAGACTTTAAAAAAGAGGGTTTGAGCATCCTCAGGGCAGATGGGCGGTCTTCCCTTCGAGAATGCAATGTCATTGTCTCAGTGACACCTGACTTTTATCACAGGAAGGTCACTGGAAGCAAATACTCCACGGGCTGTGGAATCTGTGCTGCTAAAGGATCTCCAGCAGCTCTCTCAACAAGTTCAAACTCTGCAGGAAGCTCTCCAGGAAGGGCAGGAGTCCACACAGCGTGACCTTGAGCTCCTCAGAACAGAGCAGCAGAACGCACAAGGTGAGCGAGCCCGTTCCCAGCAGGCCTTCATTTCTCTGGAGGCAAAAACTGGCCCACAGGGAAACCAACCTGTGAGCAAGGCCTTCTCCCCTCCTCCCAGTGGGTGCACTGGGCAGACCTTGCATGGGAGCAGCTCTGATGGCTCAGGCCAGTGGGACACCTCAATGCTGAGATGGCAGCTGGAGTTGTCAAGGCCCCTCTTGTTTCCTTCATCTTTGAAGGGAGGGAAAGAACAGCATCTTCTTGGTCCTTTCTAAGGGGAAAGGCCCTGTGTCATCAGTAGGAGAAGACCTCACCCGAGGGAGGTCAAAATCGTGGTCCCAGTGACACCAGTCTTTTTCCACAGACAGGACAGTGGAGGCCCTGGAATCCACGCGGCTGAAAGAGCACCAGGAGCTCTGCCAGCAGATTCAAAGCCTTCAGCAAGCTTTGCAGAATGTGCAGGACTGCACACAGCGGGACCTGAAGATCTTCAAAACAGACCTGGAGAACCAGCTAGGTGAGCAGGGCCATTGCCCAGAAGGCCTTCATCTCTCTGAAGGCAAAAGCTGCTCTGCAGGCAATCTGTCCTGTGAGGTCGCCCTGGAGAGCTCCTCAAAGGGGATGGAGAAGGACAGTCCTTACATGGGGAACAGCTTTTGGGATCCTGACATTGAAACACCTCCATGCTCAAGGGTTCTCTGCAGGGGCTCAAGGACCTTCTTCTGTCCCTCATTTTTGTAGACTGTATATTGTGAATTCTCTCATTCCCTTGAAGTCCTGTCCCTGTTTCTCTCCCTGTCCCCACTGCCCTTCTCCTCCTCCCCCACGCTGGTCCCATGCTGGGGGAAGCCAGGCTGTGCCCACCCTGCGTGTCTGTGCCCATGAGAGCCCCCCATGCTCCCTGCTCAGCTCAGGGGCATCTCAGCAGGCACTGCAGGAGGTGGGGCAGGGGAGGCAGCACCCAGAACTCTCTGCCCAAAGTCCGGGACCTTCCCCTGGGCGGGCACAGGGCCCATGTCCATCCCAGGGGCCACTGAGCAAGGCTGAGGCCCCAGGAACATTCCTGAGACCACAGTGCAGCCCCAGGGCTGGTGGGGGATGCACCACCACACCTTCCTCGTGGCACAGAGTGTTTCCCAGGGCCCACAGAAGCTGCCTGGAGAGATGGAGTGGGGTGATTCCTGCCCTCCACGCTGCCCAGCAGGCCTTGGTCAAGCCTTCAGGAAGGCTCCCAGGGAGGGTTCCCAGGGCTCTTTCCTAGGGCAGGGACTTGGAGAAGTGGGTTTGGGTCCCTGAGGGAGTAGAGAAGTGAGTTCTTCTCCAAGGTCACTGAACTAGAAAGGATTCCCTGAGGAAAGAGAACTCCCTTGTGCAGCAGCTCATTTAGTGACCAGGCAGAACCTTGAAGGGAATCCAAATAAGGACCTCCTTTGGAGTAGCAAACACCTGAGAATGGAACTCACCTGGGATATCAACCTTGTCTTCCTACTGAAGATCAATCAGGAGACAAAGTTCCATGAGCACAGACATTGGATGTGTCTGTGAGCACAGGGGCCTGTGGAGAGCAGCTCTCCCTGAAGGAGCTGGTGCTGCAAAGGACGGGGAGTCAGCTGGGGCACAGACACCGGTGTGGGCCTGCTGAGACCCAGGTCGTGCTCCTGGGACTTGCTCAGGCAGGACACAGTGTGTGTTTTAATCGCTTTGAGCTTCTTGTCCCCTCCCTGCTGAAGGACAGAGGGCAAACAGAAAAACATTCCCACAGTGAACCTCCAATAAAACTCTGAATTCCTGTGAGGTGAGAATTTGGAAGGGGGAATGAACAAGATAAAAACCCACCAGCAGGGAGAACTAAGAAGAGACTCCTGAGAAGAGAATGAATTAGAGTTTTTCAGCATGCCCATGGCAGATGGGTAGTCTCCCCTTCAAGGAGGCAATGTCAGTGTCTAGGTGATACCTGTCTTTTTCCACAGGAAGGTCACTGGAGGCAAATACCACAAGGGCTGTGGAATCTGTGCAGCTGAAAGATCTCCAGCAACTCTACCAGAAAATGCAAGCTCTGCAGAAAGCTTTCCAGAAAGGACAGGAATCCACACAGTGTGACCTTCAGATCATCAGAACAGACCTGGGGAAAAAACAAGGTGAGCAGGGCTATTCCCCAGCAGGCCTTCACGTCTCTGAAGGCAAAAGCTGCTCTACAGGAAAACCATCCTGTGATCTTGTCCTGCACAGCTCCTCAAAGGGGATGGAGAGGGACAGTCCTTACATGGGGAACAGCTTTTGTGATCCTGACACTGAAACACCTCCATGCCCAGGTGTTCTCTGCAGGGGCTCAGTGTCCCTCTTCTCTCCCTTGTCTTTGAAGGGAGTGTTTAACATGGGCTCTCTGTGACCCAATATGTGGTCAAGGTTTCCACCTCCACGTCCTCCTACACACTCATCTTCCTCACACCAGAGCGTTGTCTGTTTGGAGAGATGGAGAGGGACGATCCCAACCCTCCATCCTGCCCATCAGGCCTTTGCCAAGCCCTCAGGAGGGCTCGCAAGGTCTGTGCTCTTTCCCCAGCCCTCCAGCAGGCAATCCATCCACACCAGTTCAGAGGAGGTGGGAGGGGGAAAGCCGACCTCCTTTTCAGTCTGGCCATTCCTCTGGCTTCTCTTTCCCATCTGAAAAGGAAGGAGAGGCCAAGCTGATCTCAGCAGCTTTTAGTCTTCCATGGACGTCAGAGGGAGCAAGTTGGAGACACGAGTCCTGTGCCTGGGGAACAAAAAATATCACAGCCCCAGATTTACTGTTTTCTCTGGAAGATTCTGACAAAATGAGAATAAAACCAGTTAAGAGAACTGTGTAAATGTGTGGGATCTCCCCAGCAAGCCTTGACAAACCCACTCATCACTGACTTTCTTCTTTTCCCACAGACCTTTCAGAACTGCGGTTCTACGAAGGTAAGTGTAGGGCAGGTGATGGAGGTGAGTCCTCAGAGCCTGAGTGCAGCTCTGGAAAACACATCCAACCCCCTCAGAGAGCTGTTTGCAGAAGAACACACTCAGATCAAGGGTGGTTGGATGACTTTTTCTCCCTGCCCTGTGCTGCCAAAGGCCCTGCCTGTGCCTGTCAGGAGCATCTCAGCTGTGGGGAGCAGGGGCAGCACTGGCCACTGCAGCCCCCCCTCCCACTCCTGCTTTGGCCTCTGTGGCCTTTCAGCAGAAGTGTCTGGAGCTGATCTGGCTGCACTGCAGGAGCAGCTCCTTCTTTAAATCCGAGCTGAGCCAGAGGAGCTCAGTTGGTGCCATTGCACCCTGCTCGAGTCCTTCCAGGGGTTCACTGATGAGCCTGGAAAGCTGAGGCAAGAAATATTTCCTTATCCTTGTGGCAGCGGAGTTCACTCTTCCACTCTCATCCATGTGGCAACAATACCCTAGATTGGTGCTGTCCTGTTACTGTGGACAAACTGCCTACACCTTGAAAATCACCCTCAGGCTTTGCCAAGGAGTTAATCCTGACACCCAAACCTAATTGCAGCTGCTGTCACCTCCTGGTCCTTTTGCTCAGGCCACCCCCCAGCAATGCAGAGGTGGAGGGAGAGGGTGTCCAGCCCCACAGGCTCCTCCTTGGGGCTGCCTGCTGGAGGCCCAGGAGCTCTGGCTGAGTGCCTGGCACTCGGGGTGTGCAGGCTGCCAGTCTCTCAGCAGCCCAAGGAAGGGACGTGGCAGGAGGGAAGGGAGAAGCTCAAGGTGCCCTGAGGCTGCTGAGGGCACCTGAGCCTGGAGGGGGGGAAGGACAAATGAGAGGGGGATGAGGGCCCAGAAGAGAAAGGCTCAGAAAAGCAGAGCTTGTGTTTTCTGCTCCTCATGGCCTGACCTGACCATTGCAGTGTTTGTCACCCTGGACGCTTCCACGGCTCATCCCAGATTGGGAATATCTGCGGATGGGACGAGAGTGATGGACACTGGTGTCAGCAGAGACTTGCCTAGGAATGAGAAGAGATTTGATTCCCATCTGTTTGTGTTGGCAAAGGAAGGATACACATCTGGGAGACACTACTGGGAAGTTGTTGTTGGGAGAAGAAGCAGCTGGGCCGTGGGTGTTGCCCGGGAATCTGTGACTCGCAAAGGGCCCTTGACTCTGTGCCCTAAGAACGGCTTCTGGGTCATAGGGTTGGCAGATGGGCGAGACTATTGGGCCTACACTGATCCTTGGACCTATCTGAGTGTGAGTGGGAAGTTGCAAAGGGTTGGAATCTTCCTGGACATCCCAGCCAAGCAGGTGACTTTTTACGACGTTGATAGGAGAGACGCTCTGTTCGCTTTTAGCACTGCTGATGGCAGCAGCCAGAAGGGGAAATGCATTCCCTTCTTCTCTACGTGCCCTGCTACTACCAACCCTGACCCTGAGCCTCTGGTAATAGTGTAGTTTTGTGATGATGATGATGAATAGCTCACTGTGCATTTCAGAGGTCAGTAATGTACAGCCAGCGACCCAATGACAGTGTAATGAGGCTGCTGCCTAATTTGTGTCTCCTGAACAAAGCTAATGAAAGAGAGGACAGATCTGTCATGCTGGTCAGCTCTGAGGGTTTTTACATTATGCATCAGAATGAAAAAAATTTTGAGGGAGATTTTTTGTGCTCAGGAAAAGGAAATGGTCTTTCATGGTTGTATGGAAAAAGTACTTCTTGTGGAAAGTGAGTTTTCCTGAAAAATTGCTGCCGTTTTCCTGATAATCCGTGATTTGTCATTTTGTTGAGGAAGGACAGTGATAGAGCATCTTTGTGGGCACCTGCAACCAAACAAGGTCACCCTACAACAAATGTCCACATGGATTTGGGATTCCTCCAAAAACAGAAACTCTGCAGCCCCTCTGGGTGACTCGTGCCTGGGCTTGCTCATCCTCAAAGTAATAAAGTCTTTCCTGATGTTCAGAGGGACTCTCCTGTGTTTCAGTTTTTCCAGTTGCCTTATGTTCTGTCACTGGCACCTCTGGGAAGAGCTTCATTCAGGTGTTGTAGACATTGCTGAGATCCCCTCAACCCTTGTCCTCTCCAGGATGAACAGTCCCTGCTCTCCCAGCCTTTCATCATGGGAGAAATGCTCCAATCCTTAAATCAGCCATGTGGGCCTTCCCTGGACCCTCCCCAGTCTGTGTCTCTTTTGTCCTGGAGAGCCCAGAACAGCAGGAGTGGCCTCTCCAGTGCTGAGCAGAAGGCAAAGATCCCCTGGCTCAGCTTGTGGTTTCACTCCTGCTAACACTGCCTGGGGTACCACTATCCCTTGGTGGGAAGAGCAGGTTCCTCAGCCTGGAGCCCAGCAGAGCCCTCGGGTCCTTTTCTGCCCAGATGTTTTATACATCTGGGTGTCCCCCAGCGTGTGCTGGTGCCTGGCCTTGTTCCTCCCCATGTACAGGAATTTATTTGCCCTTCTCCTTGCTGGCCTTGCAGAGGTTCCTGTCAGCCC